CCCATTCCAGGTTTCAGGATCCCATTTTCCCATTTTTTCCCAATCAATGCCCTCACTTTAACTTCAGACACCATTCTGGGTTGGCAATTTAATTGGCATTGTAACTCAGCCACTTTTACAATAAGACTTTGGGTTTGGTTTTCCACAATGTCAGCTCTGTTACTGGAAGAAATAAGGTTTTCTTTCAGAGCACAGCTGGGAACATTGTGTCACTCACAGACAGTTGTAGGCAGTGCAACAGAATCCCGATCCACAGAAGAAAAGAATCTCTTTTCCCTGGATGTCCAAAAATATACTGGAAGCAGGCCACACCCCTAGGGAAACTCCCCTTCAATGGATTGGCTGCTCAAGACATATACATCTGATCCCATCATGGGAAAAACCCACATCACAATTGCTCAAACCACACAGAATCATGGTCCAGCCAAGTTGACATGCAGCTCCAACCATCACAACATGTTGCAGCATATTTTATAAAATAGGATCTTCTGTAACACATCACAAACAATAACAATTACAACTGTAAAAATATGCAACAGAAACCTAGTTATCCCATCAAATGGGTTTGTTTCTTCTATCTAATACACCAGGCTTATATATGGATTTACTGTATGTGGCAGGTTATCTCCAACTTATGCAGTTTTAGGTAATTTTAGATTCCAAGGACTTTTTTTATTTCTTGATTGTAATATCTTTAATTTGGCTTTGGTTATTGTCTTCTCCTTTATTTTTGTTATATTTCTTCCAAATTAAACATTCTGAGTGTGATGATAGCAGTTGCTTCTTTGCAGGGAAAAAGCATTAAATTTTTATAGGAATTCTTCATACTGGATCATTCATTCCAAGAAAATGTCTGATTTCTCCCAGAGATACTAGTGAAAAGATGGGTGCCTCAGCCAGCAGTCCTAAAAGTGAATTTTCTGAGTTCATATCCAGTGAATTATTGAGGCACAAAACCAAGAAACAAACTGACTACCATTGAGTCAATTCCAACTCATAGTTACCCCCTTTAGGTTTCCAAGGTGGTAAATCTTTATGGAAATAGATTACCCAGTCTTCCTTCTGCAGAGTGGCTGGTGGGTTTGAACCACCAACTTTCTGGTTAGCAGTCAAATGCCTTAGGCACTATACCACCTGAGCTCCTTGGGCACAGAAAGACAGTACATCTGTGATTATTTATTTTAGCTCAAACTTATTATTTATTTATTTTTTTATTTTGTAGTGTAAAATTATACTGATGCATTAATATAGGAACATAATTTATTAAAAAAATAAAAATCAGAAGTGCATGTTCAAATATCTGACTGAAAGCAATGTGCACTCAAGCAATAGCCAGGTTCCAATGAGTTAATTCAGCTCATAGTGGCCCAATGTGTGACAGAGTAGAATTGTGCTCCATTTCTCCATTTCAATGGCCCATTTCTCAGAATTATATAGCCAGATGTTTCTTCTAAGGTGCTTCTGAGTAAACTCATGCTTCTAATCTTTTGAATAGCAAATGAGTGCATTAACCACTTTTACTACGCAAGGACATCAACTTTTCTTCTTCTTCTTTTTTTCTTTTTTTAATGTACTCAAATAAGTTTAAAGACATGTGCTCTAAGCATGGATGCATTCTAATGGGCACTATGTCTTTCACCAGGGTTAGAAATTGAGAAAAGAAAGTCAAGTCCCTTCCAGCTCTGTGCAGCTGCTTTGCATTACTCCTGGTTGATGGAGAGATGGAGAGCTCAAGAATGTGGAAAAGAGTTCATTCTCTGATGCTATTCCACTCTTCTAAGCCAGGCCTCATTGTCCTTAAAATGGCACTATATTTTGTTGTTGCTGTGTACTGTTGTGTTGTGAGTGCCATCGTTACAGTCATTGCTGTTTGAGCTCATTGTGGCAGCCATTGTGTCAATACACCTCACTGAGGACCTTCCACATTTTCGCTGACCCTCTACTTCACCAAGTGTGATGTCCTTCTCCAGGGACTGGTCCTTCCTGACAACATGACCAAAAGTACATGAGATGAGATCTCTCCATCCAAGGATTCCAAGGATCATTCTGGCTGTACTTCATCCAAGACAGATTTGTTTGTTCTTCTGGCAGTCCATGGTATAGTTGACATTCTTTGCCAACACCATAAGGCAAAGTCATCAATTCTTCTTCAGTCTTCCTTATTCATTGTCCAACCTTCAAATGCATATAAGGCCACTGAAAAATACCATGGCTTGGATCAGGTGCACCTTAGTCCTCAAAGTGATATATTGGCTCTTTAACACTTTGAAGAAGTCTTTTGCAGCAGATGTGCTGGATACAATGCATCATTTGATTTCTTGACTGCTACTTCCTTGGGTGTGGATTGTGGATACAAGTAAAACGAAACCCTTGATACCTTCAATATTTTCTCCATTTATCATTGTGTTGCTTTTTGGTCCATTTGTGAGAATTTTTTTTTTCCTTTATATTGAGATGAATTTGGTACATCCACCAAAAATGGGCCACATTAAGCCAGCCCAATCTCTTTTTCCATTAGGGAAGACTCTTTGCCATTACATTTGAGGAAATTGATGAAGAAACCAAGGACTTGTTGAGATTTATTCCTGGGCTTACTCCAAGCCAAACTTTGCAGTCAAAATACAGTATTAGATTTCTCGACTTCATGGCCAATAGGCAGTTTAGTTTTTTTTTTTTTTTTTTCTCCCCTCAGTGATCCTCCCTGCCTAGAAAACTGGTAATGTTCTCCATATCCTCTGACAGTCTATGTTGATTATAAGAATGGGTTGTGGATTATACATTGTTGGGTACAATTACCTCCCAGAATACAATGAATCTTCTTTTAGACATCCCAGGGAGATAATTTGGACATAATGAAGATCTATAGTAATCAGATAATTACTATCGATTGCTCTTTAGACGTCTTGATGAGGTAATTAGGGCGCATGGAAAGAAGCTAGAACTGATTGATTGGCATGACTGTAATCTCAAAGATTTCTAATTATGTTTCTTTTCTTCTAATGGCTTATAAACAAACATCATTTTAGCTTTAGAATTTGTCAGGTGCCAGGTTCACTGGGAACATCGGCTTTCTCTATTATGCTAACTAGACACCGAGCATGATCAACATAAGCTTATTATGCCTTCCTGCTGAAGCAGAAGAAACTGCAATTAACCCTCACTTTTCTTATTCTTTCTTTCCACTTGGCTGGATTCTTGTTGAGGAATGGGCTGTGCAGTGTTGTGGGAAGGCATTCTGTAAGGAACATGTGCAACTCTGGGTGAGATGGATCTTTTGGTCTACTAGGGCTCCTTGGAGTCTGCTAAGCTGCAGGCAAAATGGAGCAAGTGTGATGGTACAGCATATGTGTCCACTTGGTCGAGTGTGGTTGGCGGTTGGTTGGCTGCTGAGGCTGTTGTCACAAATAATAGCTATTCATCAGCAAGTAACATTAAATATCAGGTCAATACTTTCTGACAATTGGGCTGTGTACATCTCTACTTCAATGTGCTATTGCCTCATCTCTTCCATTAGATGCTAATTAGAGGAGTCCCTGTCCAAGACCACATTCCACATTATCCTACTATTTCCTACATTTTTAGTGAACTGACAGAAAGATTATGGATGCTAAGAACCACTTACAGAAGCAGCTTGGAATGAGCTGTTTACCTCTAATCAATGATGTTGGTATGCTCCATACCAATAGGCCTACACACACAGAAGATGGAATTCATTCACTATATGCAAGATGGATACATTTCTTTGTATAAGGCAACCTGGTCCTCATACTAGCAAGTCTCCATTGTGACGCACCTGTGCTTGGTTATGCCATGCTAGGTGCTCTGTATATAGGTGAGGAATGACCTGAATATGAGCCTGTGTTGTTGAAGTTCAAGCATTCTACTCAAATCTCACCAGAAAAATAAATTATTATATATATATATATATATATATATATATATATATATAAAACCCATTATTTTCATGAACCCCTATAATAAAAAGAATGGTCATCATTTGTCCACATATTTGATTGTGTCACTAACACTTTTAAAGCATAACAGAAGCAAAGTGCATGGGGAAGGTTCAGACAGCAAAGAAGACACAGGATATTTTGTTCATTGATAACTTATGGGTTTGCTACTGTTTAGGTAATTGCAGCTGTAGTTGGAAAGGCTTCATTAACTCCCATTAACTAGCTTGAGAAATGGAAATATACATAGAATTTGTCTTTGTGCTACATCTTTATAGTGTAAGTAAGTCACATTGCAAATTTTTGATCAAACACAATTCTTGAGAAACAAGGTAGACTTTTGAAATTTAATCTTAAGAACTATTTAGTTCAACATGTGGGGCTGAAAAATGGAAAATGTTGTGTTAGAGTAATTTCCACTAATTTGTATTAGAATAATTTCCACTAATAGGAAACATAATGAGCTTATTAAAAATTATATATTTTTTTATAATTGGGAATCATGCAACGAATCACCATAAGCAGCACTTGTTATTTTATTTCTGTACTTAAAGAAACTACAAGAGATTAAATTAAATATCTAAATACATTCTAAGACTTTGTTTGTTTTCATTGGTTTTACCAAGTACAAAACAGGTTTTATTTCCTGGTATTTGCCCCATTCCCTAAAAGTAAATTGCCAACCTACTTTATTTATTTATTTATTTATAATTGAGATTCTTCCAATTTGGGCCTGTGATTAGTTTCCTGTATTCGATTAAATATTCTACTTGTGAGTCAGGGAGTGCAGACTGTACTGAATTTGCTCCATAATAGTGTGATGAAGATTGTGGAAACATAGTTGTCATAGGGTCCAGGGAGACCCTAATAATGGCAGAGGCCTCAGTTGCAGGGCCTTGAGGCTATTAGATGTGGATTTCATGGTGTTACATTTATCACGTATGGTGTTCAGAAGACACAGTGAAGAAACATTCCCATTTGACGATTGAACTTGAAGGAATTGATGTCATTCAATAATTTGCTTTTGGTTTGGGCATGTCGTTGTAGGAAGTTTTACAGCTTGAAAGACAGATGGGAGGACAGCTCCTAGAAGAACCGAAGGCTCTACATTTTAAAGGCAGCACCCACAACCTGCGCCTGTCAATTCACGACATTGCCCATTCCCTCTGGAAGAGCAAATTGCTGGCTAAATATCAGGTAACTCTTTCACATTGCACTGAAGGCTTGGAGACAACTCCAAGAAAGATGAGTGAAATTATATAGGTATTAGAAATCTTCAGAAAACAATCCTAAATCAGTACTTTTTTTCTCCAAAATAGATAGGAGTTATTTAGGATTTTTGAAAAATGTATTTTTTAAAATTTTTATTGTGATTTGGGTGAAAGTTTACAGAGCAAATTCATTTTCCATACAGCAGCTCATACACATTTTGTTTCATGTCATTGAGTGCAGTTCCCCAAAATGTAACAGCTCTCTTTCCACTTCCTCCCCATAGTTACCTCCACTCTGTGGAAAACTAAACATTTTTAAAGGAATCTTTTCTTCTTTAAAATTGTCCTCAAATGACTGTACTATTTTTGTTTTATTTTTAGTAACTAAAAGACTTCCAATTCCATCATCTCAATAAACTTTCAGAATAAAATTTCACATTGAATTGACAAAAATAGTCTCAAATGAATTCATAGGGAAAACAGAACATTGTTACCCCATGTGACACAGATTAGGTTTTAACCTTGCTAGAAGTCACTTTGGGAACTCTGGTAGCATAGTGCCTAAGGCACTTGACTGCTAACCAGAAGGCTGACAGTTCAAACCCACCAGCCACTCCTCGGAAGGAAGATGGGGCATCTACTTCTGTAGTGATACTGACTACGAAACCCAAGGAGGGGTCTCTATGAGTCGGGTCCGACTTGACAGCACATAACAACAACAACAACAACAACAGAAGTCTTAAGGAGCTCAGTGCTGCAATGGTTAAGGCATTTGGCTGCTAACCAAAAGGTCAGTGGTTCCATGGAAGAAAGATGAGACAATCTGCTTCTGTGAAGAAAGCCCTCAGGGGTCTCTGTGAGTTGGAATTAACTCCAAAGCAGTAAGTTTGGTGTTTTTAATTTTTTTTAAGGAGTAACTTTCTATTGTTTGGGAACTGAAATAGCATGTAACAATACAAACCAGTCAGAGTCATATTAAATAACAGGCATAAAAATACTAATCCCAAGTGTCATGCTGTTTACCTGTGGGAAAATCATAGGCCTCTCAAGGGGTTTTCACCTCCTCTACTAGTCAGCCTGAGCTATCAGGAGACGAACTGTTTTGATGGGATTTCTGGCTCAGTACCTAGTCCTGGGAAATATAAGATACATTTAGAAAACCTTTGAATCCATGTCTACACACATGCAAATCCAATCCCAAGCCCCACTACTACGGCCAAACTTGATTTCTTTAGTAAGGGAATAAAAGGAAGACTTTTTAGCTCCATTTTTACACTCATATATCAACAACTTACTCAGAAATTGTAGAAGAAAACCCTATGAGTTTGTTAACAATTGCAAGCTTTGATGGGTTGTATAACCAAGTCTCTTTTAGAATAGGCTCAGCACTTGATCCAAGAAAGCCAATTTTTGACTTATTAAATCTCTTCCTTTGCTTTCTTCTATTTTACAACTGCCATAAAATTCCACAAATCTACTCCTTTTATAAGCAATGTCCTATATACATACAATCATAATGGAAACTACTCTTAACAATAATGATATGTGGTATTAGTTATAGATAACCTTGGTTAGGGTCACTAGGTGGACAAATGATTTACACTCAACTATTACTCTATGGCAGCCACTCCTCAGAAGGAAGGTTGGGCAATCTACTTCCATAGTGATACCACCTCCGAAAACCAAGGAGGGGTCGCTGTGAGTCGGATCTATTCCACGGCACATAACAACAACAACAACATTAACCTATGGCAGAGTGCCTAAGGCATTTGACTGCTAACCACAAGGCTGGCAGTTCAAACTCACCAGCCCCAACTAAGAAGGAGGATTGGGCAAGTTACTTCCGTAGTGATACCACCTCAGAAACGCAAGGAGGAGTCACTATGAGTCAGAACCGACACAATGGCAATGAGTTTGGTTTTGGTTTAGGTATATGAGTTAGGTACTCTGTTGATAATTCTTTTGCAGATGAGGAAACTGAGGCATGGAAAGGTTAACTAACTTGTTCTAAATCACCAAGTAAGGAGGTTGTACTCATTCTTAATGAATTTGGCTACAAACTCTCCACTCTTAATCACTATGCTCTCCTATTTTTTATGTACCAACCTTTTCTTTTCTTTATTGCAAAAAGTCTAGAATGGTCCCTCTTAGAGGTGGTCTAAAACCAAAGCAAACCTGTGGCAGTTGAGTCAATTTGTGGCACCCCATGTGTTAGAGCGTAGAACTGCCTCATCAGATTTTCTTGGTTGTAATCTTTATGCCGAAGGCATTGACTGCTAATCAGAAGGCTGGCAGTTCAAGCTCACCAACCACTCCTCAGAAGGAAAATGGGGCAATCTACTTCCATAGACATACCACTTCAGAAACCCAAGGAGGGGTTGCTATGAGTCAGAACCAACTCTACAGTGAGTTTGTTTTTTTTTTTGTTTGTTTGTTTTGAATCTTTATGGAAGCAGATCATCAGGCCTTTCTTCCAAGATACTGACAGGTGGGTGTTAACCACCTACCATTAGAGTAGCAGTCAACTGCAAATCTTTTGTGCCACCTGGGGCCCTAGGGGAGGTCTGTTGTTGTTGTTTTGAAAAATTAAGTCCATTAGAGGCTTGGTGCTTTTCTGGTCAAGGGCTTTTCTAAGATAGCTACTGTAATGTACAGTTTCCCAAATGTAGTAAGTTTTGACTTTCTCCTATTCTGGGCAGAGGGAAGATGCAGGCATAAAAGGAAACTATATCACTGCATTATCCTTTGCTTTTATCCAGAATATCATGGTGGGGATTCCTTTTAATGAGCAGTAACTGGTGCATATAGGTTTTAGTTTGGAAATTTTTTTTTTTTTTTTTTTTTTTTTTAATCATTTACACTGGTTTTTTTTTTTTTGTAAGTGAGAGACACATTGCAGACTGGTTATGTGCCTGGACGCTGAAGGTCGATTCCCTGGATTCAAATCTCAGCTCTGCCATTAACTAACTGTGTGACTTTGGGTTAGTTATTTAATCTCTAAGGGCCTCAGATTTTTTTTTTTTTTTCCCATCTGGAAAGAGAAGCAGGATGTCCTTTAGCACAGGGCTATTAGGAGGATTAAATTAATTAATATGTATACTGGGAGGAGTATCTGGCAGCAAACAACTTAGTGGTTATTTCACTCTTAATCTCTCATTTGTGGTTAATACTTTTCTATTCTTTAGGAAATTCCTTTTTACCATATCTGGAGTGGGTCTCAAAGAAACCTCCATTGCACCTTCACTCTGGAAAGATTTAGCCTGAACACAGTGGAGCTGGTTTGCAAGCTCTGTGTGCGGCAGGTAGAAGGAGAAGGACAGATTTTCCAGCTGAACTGTACTGTGTCAGAGGTAAGATGCTCATGTCTGTCTCAGAAACCCTGGGGAAGAGGACCCTCAGCAGAAGGGACAGTGTGGGAAAATTGCCATCTCCATTTATGCCATATGGGAGACCCTGAGAAATTTTCTCTATGTTCTTTCTGTTCATGAATAGAACAATAGTTTTTTTTTTTTTCTATTATAGCACAAGGTTTATTTGTTGGTTTGTTTTTGCAAAAGTAGAATAACTATAAAAACATTAAATGTGGTCAGTGTCTCTTTGATAAACATAAAAGAATCTAATGGGGAAACTATTTAAAAAAAAAAAAGTCTTACTTTTTTATGACATGAATTTAAGGACTATGTTCTAACTTTTGGAAGCAGATTCTGAATTTCAAGAATACGGTTTAATTTAAAGAGCGTGCACATGAAGTACCTTTTCTTGAAGCATCCCTTGATGCGCCCACATGCCCTGCTTCCTCCATCTGTCTCTCATCCATTTCTGCCTCTTCCCTCGGAGAACTCGCCTACCTTTACCCTAATCTTTTGCAACTGAAAAAGGTGCAGGAAGAGAGATAAGCCTCAACACACTCCCCCCACTGTCTCCTTTTCTCTCCATTTTTTCCTCTACGTTGAAAGCAGAACTTTCTTGGTCTCCTTTCTCATAAGTCTGTCTCCAACTGTAAGAAGATAAGTCCCTGTCTCCAGGGTGGAGGTAGGTTCCAGCAATAGAAGCAAAATCTATGTATTTTTCCCCCTGGTGGCCATCACCTTTGATGATCTTCACACCCTTTAGTTGGACACTTTTATATGTTCATACTGTAGCAATAACAACAATCCCTGCTAGTCAAAATGTCCCTGGAAGGAAACGGAGGCACTCATGCCTTCATCTGTTATCTTGGAGCCAAAGGCGGTAGTATGAAAAGTGGTAACCCTTCACATCAGAGGAACAAAGGAAAAAGAACATGAGGAATGGTCACAAGGCACAATCTTCTGGGGCCTCATGACGCTAATCTTCATGCCACTTGCTGAGCCACAAAGCACAGGGTTGTCGTATTTTAAAACTGCAGTGGGACAGTCTATGATTTAAAATATCACTTCTCCCTCACTGTCTCATGCACAGTGACGAATGAAATGTCAGTGTGCTTAACTTGTCCTGCTCTCATGTCATATTTAAAGACTATCTTCCGAAGTAAACTGAGGGGGGAGAAGAGCATGTCAGCCTCAACGACGCTCCATCCTTCTTTCCCACAGCCCGCCGCTGTGTGGTCATCATTTCCTCCTGTAGTTTCATGAGACTTTTGACTCATAAACAACTTTAGTCACAGACCCCAGTGACATTCATAAGAAATGATCTCGGTGTCAGGGTGCCATGGCAACCGCCTAGCCTTCCATGCACAGGCCCTATCTCCCAGCACACAGCACCACCCCTGCTGGCTTGAGAGGGTGTTTTCACTTTCCAGGCCCAGCAGGTCTGCAAAGTTCAATAACCACCCAGCTCCAATGACAACAAAGGCTATGGAATTTTGGAGGGGAGCGAGGAGGTCTGGCCCTTTGATGCTTGCTTTCTGTTCAGCATGAACATTTGCTGTGCGATGAAAAGGTGGATCAGATGCAGCCACAAATGAAAGAGAGCCCTTCACTGCTCTCCCCTGCTAAGACCGCCACCTCCTCACAGAGAAAAGATAGTTTTGCATAGTGATCACCATTTAAGGACTTTTTTTCTTATGCCAACATATAGGAAAGATTATTTCTTTTGCAACTAAGCGACAGTCAGCTCAGAGAGGTCTCATAGTGGAGGCATTTGCCCATGCGCAACAGAGGAGCAAAGCGTATTGAGCTGAGGGAGGGGAGAACTGAGCAGAGTTCAGACGACTTGGGGGATTAAGGGACACTCTTTGCTTTTACTTCTGGGTCACTGGCTGAGTCCCACCATTGTTGTTAGCATCTGAATGCTGGTGCAGGATTCATGGAGGAGGGAGTGTGGGCCTGGGTGCTGATGTCAGAGGGCTTGGCATTGCCCCCATGAACAATTGACTCTGGAGAGTCCTGCGACCCTGATCCTCATCAAAAGCTCCGAGAAGGGGTCCAATATGACCGCCAAACCATAAACAAATAAAGAAAAGATTCCATTTGTGGTCTCTTTCTTCTGAACAGGGCTCCTTCCTAGGGTCACACAGCAAGTTGGCAGGTGGGCTGGGTTAAATATTCTTATGTCCTAGCTCCTAAGAATGAGTTGACTTTCCAGGAATGTGCCAACCTCCCCTTTACCCCCCAGTTGCTCCCCACTCAGTGGCACTCACAGAGTAGTTATTTATAAACTGAGGGCATCCCTCAGCCCCTCTAGCTAAGGAGAGGACCTGCTGCCTGCCACAGAAACCAGGCTGGGCTGGGCCCCATAGCAAACGTGACATTATTCACCAGTTGCAATTGAGTCAGTTCTGACTCATGGTGACCCTATGTGTTGTTGTTGTTATGTGTCATTGAATCATCTCCAACTCATAGCAACCCCCCTTGGGTTTCTGAGGCAGCATCACTACAGAAATAGATTGCCCAACCTTCCTTCTGAGGAGTGGCTGGTGAGTTTGAACCGCCAAGCAGTCAAGTGCCTTAGGCACTACGCAACATTTTGGTTAGCAGCTGAGTGATTTAGAGATGATGGTTACTTCAAGAGCTGACTGATTTTTCTTCTCTGGGGGTTTTTGCAAGAGTTTTCTTAACTATAAAAAACCTTCCTTCCCCACCCCCACCCATGCCAGAGATGAAATTTAAGAATGAAAGAATGAAAGAGTAAAAGTATCGGCATGAGTGAATGTCAAAGTGTACGTGATGCTGAATTTTTTTTTCTATCACTTGCCCATCCTAGAGAGTGGGCGGGGGATGTAATAACCAGGAAGCTACCCACTACTCCAAGAGATGCAAGGGTTTAGAGAAGAGAGAGAAATTTTCCTTCTTCCAGGCCTCCTGTTAATTTTAGCCATAGACAAAGATCCACCCTAGGAAGTTCCTAAGTGGACAGTTCAGTGGGAACATAGGCAATTACATAATCCCTTATGCCTTAGTTTCCTCATGTGTAAAACTTGTGTAAAAATAGCATACAGTCATGGGTCTGCTATGAGAGGTAAATGAGTGAATATTAGCAATTGCTCTGAACAGAATTTGGTTGGTAGCAGATGCTCAATATATGCTCACCATTTATTATTGTTCCCATTAATGTCGTTAGCATACCTACGTTCTTGAGTAAACTCCTTCAGTACAGGCTGTGAGACCTGTCACCCAACTTTAGTTTTCCTAACTATAAAAATTAGTTAATTTAAAAACTCAGTCATTCCTATAAAAATAAATTATAAATGAATATAAATAAAGGAAAATCAGCTCCCAGGGAGAAGAAGATGGCTTCCACTCATGAGAAGGTTTATCACACCGTTGCTAATCATGGCTTTGAACCTGGCAAAAAGTGCACCTTTAGGGCACAGTGTTAGTCATCTATTTTAATAATGCATCTCCAGATAACAACTATTAAAATTTCTTTCATCTGTTAGATCTTATAACCTCTATTAACTATTGATACATAACACTTGTGTCTACAAAGAGTATCATTTAAAGGGACAAGATAAAATCATTCTGCTGCAACTAGGCCATCTCTTTACCTTTCTACCTTTCTTTTTTCTATCTAAAGCCTATTGAAAATCACCATTGCAGAATTCTTGTTCTTCTAAATGACTTTAGGATGAGTCAGCAGGTGAGAGAGGAAAATTGTTTCTACTGTGGAATCCTGAGAATATGTGCTGTCACCCATTACAGCTGTTTGGTTAATGTTGAAAAATCAAATGTTTAACTAAGGCAGTTATAACTTCAAAGGCAGATGGTACCAATATCATAAACAATTATTATAATAGGCATTGTGTGAGAGTAAACTCTACTTTCACCTGGAAGTAAAAGAAGAACTAATAGCAACTGAACTTACTAACGTGAAATGTGAATGTGTGTGTGTGTGTGTGTGTATTTTTCCCCCAGCAAGGCCCTGTCAGCCATTTGATAAGAGAGACAAGAAATAATGCCTCTTCAGCTTATTTCTCTCCACAGAATTAAATAGTAACAGTAGCCAGGACTCAAGAGCTGAGGAATTCAATGTCCACATGAAATAGAGACAAGAAAGGAGGGACAAAATGGATCTGGAAGCAAACCTTCCTGAGATTCATGAGTATTTTTAACTGGCCTTCCACTTCAGGATTGTGCAAGAACAACCATATCTTTAGCCACATGTAGTTGAAAGAAAACTCAATTTTATGGGATTAGCTTCTATCAGGGACTGGTTACATGCTCTTTCTGCACTAGAGAAAAATATTTTCATTCACTTCAACATTAATTGAGAAGCTCAATTAATATTAATTAGCAATCAGACGAAGGGATTAGGTGAGGAGGGGAAACTCAGGCCCACCCAGAGTAGCAGGCCGGAAGAGCAGGAGAAAGGGGATAAAAGCCTTGAACCAGGACAGAAGAGCAGTCAGCCCCAGGGTTACAGGTAAGGAGAGACAACGCAGGGACGCCCAGAGTAGAAGGCCGGAAGAGCAGGAGAAAGGGGATAAAATTCAGGAAGCCAGAGAGAAGAGCAATCAGCCAAAGAGATTAGGCGAGGAGGGGAAACTCAGGCCCGCCCAGAGTAGCAGGCCAGAAGAGCAGGAGAAAGGGGATAAAAGCCTTGAACCCAGACAGAAGAGCAGTCAGCCCCAGGGTTACAAGTGAGGAGAGACAACGCAGGGACGCCCAGAGTAGCAGGCCGGAAGAGCAGGAGAAAGGGGATTAAAAGCCAAGAAACCAGACAGAGGAACAGTCAGCCACAGGGACCCAGGTGGGGGTGATACGAGAGGTCTCCAACAGCAGGACAAAATTGTCTGTCGGTTTGTCCTACTGTGGTGACATGTAGGTGTGAGTTTTAAGGCTGAGCCTCTTGTGTTTAAAACCCAGCAAGATGCACCTGGTGCACACACAGGTAAAAGCCCAGCTTTAGACTGAGACAGACTAGGAAGAAG